TATCAAGCCCCGGTACTCGAGGAGCGCCAGATACCAGCTCTCCTTGTAGCCAGGCCCGACGGCCTGGGCCCACCCAGTGGAGGAGCGGGCGCGTCTTCGGGTCCGCGAGGAGTGCGAGCCGTCACGTTACGAACAGCAGCAATGCGAGTTTAGGGAGGAGCGGCGCCGTGGCGCTTGCCGAGCGCCAGACCTGTTGCGGCGGGAGCGGGCCGAGCGCGCGGCCCCGGGAGGACCGGTTGCGCAAGCTGCAGCAGGAGCAGAACCTGAAGCAGCGGGAGGAAGGCCTGCAGGAAGGGCGCGAGCGGGCCGAGCAAGTCCGCCGGGAGCGCGCCCAGCGCGTGGCTTGTACCAAGCAGCGGCAGGAGGGCCAACTGCAGCGGGAGAAGCGGAAACTGAGCAGGGCCGAGCAGGCGCGCCACCGGGCGCTGCTTCAAGGCCGGGCCCGCCAGGAGCACGAGGAGCGCGAGGGCCTGCGGAGCTCCCTGGAGGCCAGCTTGGGTCGCGCGCAGGAGAACTACGAGCACTTGGTGGAGCAGCGTACCCGGGAGTTGCGGGAGCGGGCCCGGAGGGAGGAGCTGCAGGGTCGGCGGGCCAAGGAGGCGGCGGAGCGCAAAGATCGCGAGCATCAGGCGCACCTGGAGGCGCTGGCCCGGGCAGGCGAACGGCGGCTGCAGCACGCGACGCAGGTGGCGGAGGAGGCGGTGCAGCAGAAGGCGCGGCGCGTGGGACAGAACCGTTTGGAGAAGGAGCGAGCCCAGCGTGCCAAAAAGGAGAAGGTGGAGAGGGACGAAGACTGCCGCCGGCGGGAGCTGCTCCAAGCCATCGGGCGCAAGCTGGAGCGCAGCGAGCAGCTGTCGCGGGAGCGGCGTAGCGCGCTGGAGAGCGCACGCTCCATAGCCCGGGCGTCCTTCCACGTGCGCGAGAAGGTGCGCGAGGAAACCAACACGCGCTCCTTCGACCGCATGGTGCGGGAGGCCCAGCTGACCGCCAGCCTGGACCGCAAATGACCGACACCCGGTGAGGGCCAGACTGCCACGCTCAGAGCCCTGCGGGGCATCCCCTTGGCCACTTTGACCAAACCTTGGGAGTCCTCCGCTGGGTCGCAGCACATACACCTCTCGAATTTTCCGACCAATAAGGCAATAAGAGGACTAACACGCCAGGCCTGTCATATTGCAACCTTTGTTTTTAAAAACTGACTTCGTACGGAAATGACAAAGCACAATCTTTGACCATATCCACCCGTAGTGGGAGCTCCGGCGCCGGCTTTTGCCAAACTATCTTGTGTGTCTTTTTGGTTGGAATAGAAAAGAGCTGGGAGACAGGGGCTGGGTCGGGACTGGGGGGAGGGCCCCCGAGAGAGAGAACGCAGGGATGATTGCCTCTTTATGCAGCAGTCATCCCAGGCACCTCTCATACATTGATATCTGAGACCACTGCCCTTACTGCAGCTGAGGAGGCATCTCCCTGGCTCCTCCATCTTTTAAAATATGGCAAGTTTCACAAAGCTCAGAGGCCACAGAAAAAGCACAGCAACTGGAAGGTGTTAGGCCACACCCAAGTGACCCCAAAAAAAGCTATTGATTTTTGTATACTTGACTTTGAATCTGCCGCTAAGAGCAAATTCTGGTCTTTGTCCTGATAGTTTTCTTTATTCCCCCTACGTTTTCTAGTTAGACAATCACCTACAAATAATGATCAATTTGTGTCTTTTTCTCCCCTCTTATTCTCCCAAGTGACACACACACAAAAATCAGGTGATTTGGTAACGCTGTATAGCCTTAGTGGAAGCCCCCAGCGCTTGGGGGAGGCGGGTTCCTTGGGCAGCAGTGTTCCACAGGATTAAGCGTGCTTGCAGGGTAGTTTCAGGGGAGGAGGGTCTGATGCCCACCTCTTGGTGTGGAGCTCACTCCTCCCAGACAGCAGCCATGCCTTAAGAAGCAGTGCTACCTTACGTGCCTGCCCAGGCCAGTCCTGCCTAAATCTCCAGCCCCGGATGCAGTCCCAAGGGTTGGCCCCGGGGTGTTTGGACTGTAGGGTTCCCTCTGTGAAGGAATCATCACAATGGCTCTAAGGGCAATTGACTGTGGTGGCTGAGAGCTGGAATTGCCTCTTGGCTGTTGAGAGTTGTGCTCACTATGGTCACCAGTGTATCTTCTCCTCTCCTCCCCCCTTTAAGTCCCTCCTCACCTAGGACTGAGAGTATTTGATCGCTCTCTCTGTACCTCACCTTTCTACTGGCCAGTACTCTTCTCCTGGTACCTCAAGGCCTCCCAGATCCAAAGCACCACCTCAGTATTATTTGTTGGTCTTCTTTGTGCCTTTTTTGACCTGGAGTTGGGAAGCAGGAGGGCTGCTGTTGGCTTAGTTTGTTTCTGGGAATATGGATTCCTAGTGTTGGAAGGAGCAGTGCACCACACACATATGATCATTTAGCCTCTGGGGGAAAGTACTTGAAGACCAGGCTGCTCCCTGGTCCAAAAAGTCCTGTTCGGTTGTCTTCAGGCAACTTAAACCCCTGGAGAGTTTCCCTTCCATGAAGCCGAAATCAGCCCCCAGCAGTACCCATACACTGGCTCTGCCTTCATCAGAAAAGATTACTTTTTACATTAAATCAGAATCAGGAAATAAAAGTTACCAAAAAAAAAATCAGGGTAGGCATCTATCATGTATACTAGTATTCTGCTGGGCAGAATTGTCCTTAAAATGTCTGGTATTTACACACACACACACACACACACACACACACATTTTGTCATTTCCCCCAACCCTAATCACGTGCCAACAGGTACAGGAGTATTGTGCAGAAGGACGCTGTGCTTAGGTGTTAGACTTAAGATGTTATGAAACCAGGAAAGGAGATATGCCAAGGTTTATTTCTTGAGTGGGTGAATTTTTCCTCAAATTTTCTTCTTGTCAATAACCAGGATGTCAGTGAGCTGTAATTATTGGCATTATCTGTGAGTCGGGGGCATTTAACTAAAATGTTGGTGTGATACTGGTAATTACCTTGTGGTTCCTGATTTGCTAGAGGGCTTTTGAAACCTTAACAGGAGGTCCTACCTAAAGCTACTTACTTCCAAAGTAGGTGCATTCATATGAGAAGACACTATCTGGTTTTCTGGATAAGGCACTGGAAGGTACATAGGGGATCTTACCTGGCCCTTTATTTAGTTTGCTTTCTGACTTGCTGAATGACTGGATAGATCACTTCTCTGTGCCTTGGTTACAAACACTGTGAGGATGAGTCAGAATCAAAGTGGTGCTCTCAGTGCTGTGACTTTAGAACTGTGGGTACAGTCACTATAAAGAGAGAGGATCATGTGACTATCTATACTATTCCCAGAGAGTGTATTATACGGTCGTGACATAGTACAGAGAGGAATGGTCTTGAAAAGCATGTTGCAGATCATAGTGTCACATGTGATGCAAGGCCCAGGTCTGAATATCACCAAATGAAATTTTGCACGTAGAGAAAAATCACTGTGTAAAGGAAAGAACTTTTGGATTCTTAAAAAAAACAAACAAATAACACCATATAGCTAAGAATTAAAGCAAACACAGAAGCCAAACCTAGTAATAGTAAAGAATGGTTCTTCCAAATTTCAGATGATCCTCTAGAACAGTGGTCAGCAAACTCATTAGTCAACAGAGCCAAATATCAACAGGACAATGATTGAAATTTCTTTTGAGAGCCAAATTTTTTTAACTTAAACTATATAGGTAGGTACATTGTTATTAACTTAATTAGGGTACTCCTAAGCTGGCCTTTGCTAAAAACGTCCTCAATCTGATTGAGGTATGTTCGCTGAGGTCGACCCCTTCCAACTCTCCCATCCACACTCGTATACTTGTTTCATCTATCTCCTTTCGTTCATCCTCTCTATATGTCCACCCCCCACTTCTTCTAACGCCACTTCTTCAAAATAGACTCGCCCAGGCCGAAAACCGACTTCTGCGCAGGGGCCACGAAGTTTCAATCGCACTGTGTGTGCGCGCCCGCACGTGGTATTTGTGGAAGAGCCACACTCAAGGAGCCAAAGAGCCCCATGTGACTCGGGAGCCGTGGTTTGCCGACCACTGCTCTAGATTATAGACCCATCTCTATATTCTGGAATAAGTGGCCATGTTGCTCTTTGAGGAGGAGCAATTTCCAAGATTCTTTGTTGAGCCCTTTACTTATATTCTTTTTAAAAAAAAATGTTTTTATTGATTTCAGAGAGGAAGGGAGAGAGAGAGCGATGGAAACATCAATGATGAGAGAGAATCATAGATTGGCTGCTTCCTCAAGTCCCCCACTGGGGATTGAGCCTGCAACCCGGGCATGAGTCCTGACCAGGAATCGAACTGCAACCTCCTGTTTCATGGGTTTACGCTCAACCACTGAGTCACACTGGCCAGGATACTTATATTCTTCTTTTTGAAATTATGCCAGAGAGGGAAATTGTTTCATATTCTAAAAACTAGCAAAAGAAAATTGGAGGTGGAGGTGTGGCAGAGATAATGGTGGAGAATGGATGTGACCATTGTAACAAGTGCCCAGAATTTGCCTCGGGGCACCATGCTGAAAGTTCTCACAATCCAGTTCTTACCACACAGCTTTGAAGTGGCCCAAGACCTTCACTTTTGCCCCCTTGGAACATCCTGAAGTGAGGTGGGGAGGAATGGAAAGTGTTGGAGGAAGCTTTCGTTTGGTTCATTACCAAAGAAAAAAGCGGGACACTGTTTCAGATGGAATCACACATGAAGCTAGCCCAGTGTCCTGCTCAAGCAGTGAACAATACTTACACCGCATCTGGACAGGAAGATGGAAATTTACTTTCGGAAGCACCTGGACTTTGAGTCTTCAATGGGAGCAGTAAGCAGGATTTGCCAAAGGCGAAGAGTCTGGTGATTAAAAGGCATATAAGAATGCAGCTTGTGTTCATGCCATTCTATAACACCTACTACTTATTCCCCCGCCTTTAAAAAGCCCATTGAAACACAGAGGTGACTGACTCTTCATAAGGGGCTATCTCTTGTTTACCATTAATTCCCCGGTAGCCCATGGTTGAGCACCTCACACAGGATTAGCACATAAATACTGGATGGAGAGAGGGATAGACGATAGATGGATGACGAACAAAAAAAATGGTGACCAGGATAAATCTATATAAAATAGATCAAGTGGACAGGCCTCCATTCATTCAACAAATTGGTATTGAGTACCTGCTATGTGCCAGCACTACCCTTGTTGCTGGGGAGATGTTTTCTGATCATTGACCCCGGGAACCATTTACACTGCAATGTCGTGAGCAGACACCTTTATTTCCCCATTGGGCTTAATTACCTTCCCATCCTGGTATCCATTTACAGGCAGACCTGATGGTTCTAATTTCAAGCATTTTCACTTTCCTGAGAAGAATCCATCTGCCAACCAACCATCATCTCAGTCTTTGTTGTTCTCTTTCCCTCAGAAGAACCTTGATTAATCAGATCAAATTCATAAGGTCTTGTACATAAGCTTTAAATTACAGTCAAAAGAGAGAGATCAATTACCTTCAAGGGCATTGGTGTGTGTTGCCTTTAGCAGAGGCAGCATAAATAATGATCGTGGACCTAGAGAACCACGCCTCAGGCTGTGCAAAGTCTCACGTCACCAAGATGGGATCAGTTCCATCATTCAACTGTTCTCGCTGAGACAAGAAACTCAACATTTCAGAAGCATTTCCAGTTTTAAAGTCCCAACAAAAAGATTTCTGATCAACACTAAATCGAGGAGAAAGTTCAGCGAACCAGAATATCCCACTTCTTAAGGCTTCCAGGTGATGGGGGTGACACAGAGGTTGCTGTGGAAACTTGCCTCTTTTTTTTCACCACAGGACGGCATCTCCACCCCTGACACATTTGGCAGAGGAACATAAGGAAACTTGGTATTTCTTGGCACAGACTGGCTAGGGGCTTTCAGGGACCCAGCAGAAAACTCATAGTTCTAAAAATGTTGCTTAGGCCTTATCTGTGACACATTTGGCTTTGGGTGTCAGATGCAGCGCCTACAGGATTACACCCGGCCATGTGTTTTGCAGAAGAGCATCTTGTCTGCTCACGTGTTTGTGCTCTGTCTCACGGAGCTCCCAGGAGTCTCCACATGCGCCTCCTCCCAGCCCCTGCCTCCACCACACGCCCCCAGCCTGGCACTGCTTTGGTTTCTCATAGGTCAGGCTGGG